CTGTTTCCCCGGGCGCTTGCTGTATTTGGGACAAATCCCTTATAGTTGGGTGGGCGGGTGGATTTAAATCCGGAACCCTGCCCGATAAAAGATTCAGGGGCCAAGAGGTTTCCGAATTCGGAGGCTTGCTTTCTTGGACATTATTCAATGAATCAGGCATGCTGCCTGACTTTAGGTTCAGGACTTGGGCAACATCCTCCCTTCCGCGGGTATCCGGCTTGGAGGGGTCGGGAATCCGGACACATCTAGTCCTTAGAGCGGGCGAAGATGCGCCGCATTGTTCTTCCACCACTTCAACATGGTGGGTGACCTGGGGAGAGTCGATCTCTCTCTGGTCGGGTTTAAGCCCGACCCGGCCGTAGTCTGTAGCGACTCCAGGGCGGCAATGCGATCCAGGAGCTCGTTCAAGGAAGAGAGCTCCGTCGGATCTAACTGCTCGGCGAGTTCCAAGCTGATGTGAAGATTGCTTTCGATAGCCTGAGAGGTCATCGTCGGCGAGGCGGCCGAACAGGCAATCATCAAGAACCTGCCTAGCCGAAGAGTTTGACCGACAGCCAAAGCTCCTTTAGCGACAGCGCCGTCTTTAAAGACGGGGTGCGGCATCCTTCCTGACGGTGACGGCACAGAGGAACTCTCAATGAAAGCACCAATGTCGGTGTCAAAACCGGCGGATCTCGGGTAGGGGGTCCCGAACTATGCGTCTAGGCGGATGGTAACAGGAGACAAGGGACACGATGCTTTACCCAGGTTCGGGCCCTCTCGGGGGAGGTAAAACCCTACTCCTGCTTGATTGATATTGATGGTATGGGTGTTACAAGAGTTGATCTACCACGAGATCAGAGAGGCTAAACCCTAGAAGCTAGCCTATGGTATGATTGTTGTTCATCCTACGGACTAAAACTCTCCGGTTTATATAGACACCGGAGAGGGCTAGGGTTACACAGAGTCGGTTACAATGGGAGGAGATCTTCATATCATATCGCCAAGCTTGCCTTCCACGCCAAGGAAAGTCCCTATCTGGACACGGGACGAAGTCTTTAATCTTGTATCTTCATAGTCCGCGAGTCCGGCCAAAGGTCATAGTCCGGCCATCCGGACACCCCCTAATTCTGGACTCCCTCAAAGATCTTTATCGGTCAAACCGCACAACAACATACGTTGTTCACTTTGTCATTGGTATGCTACTTGCCCGAGATTCGATCATCGGTATCATCATACCTAGTTCAATCTCGTTACTGGCAAGTCTCTTTACTCATTCTGTAATGTTTCATCCCGCAACTAACTCATTAGTCACATTGCTTGCAAGGCTTATAGTGATGAGCATTACCGAGAGGGCCCAGAAATACCTCTACGATACACGGAGTGACAAATCCTAGATCTATGCCAACCCAACAAACACCTTCGGAGACACCTGTAGAGCATCTTTATAATCACCCAGTTACATTGTGGTGTTTGATAGCACACAAGGTGTTCCTCCGTATTCGGGAGTTGCATAATCTCATAGTTAGAGGAACATGTATAAGCCATGAAGAGAGAAGTAGCAATAAAACTTAAATGATCATTATGCTAAGCTAACGGATGGGTCTTGTCCATCACATCATTCTCTAATGATGTGATCTCGTTCATCAAATGACAACACATGTCTATGGTCAGGAAACATAACCATCTTTGATTAACGAGCTAGTCAAGTAGAGGCATACTAGGGACACTATGTTTTGACTATGTATTCACACATGCACTAAGTTTCCGGTTAATACAATTATAGCATGAATAATTAATATTTATCATGATATAAGGAAATATAAACAACAACTTTATTATTGCCTCTAGGGCATATTTCCTTCATCAACGGCGATTCTTTTTTTGAGGGAATCACAGTTCATTAATTAAAAAGCGTTCGGAATCTCCGTCGCTATTACATGCAGAATACATTCAAGAGGCACATCTCGCCATTCCTGCGACACTTGTTCACTAACAGCTACCTTAGCAAGGATATGCACAACTCTATTTGCAGTTCTTCGTCTCCATGAAACATTGCATCCCTGCCAACCATGCATCAAACACTTAATTTCTTCCACAATTGGCCCAGCCGCTGAGAGGTTCTTGCATGCACTATTTATCATCCTAACAGCCTGAATGCAATCCATTTCAACATGAATCTTTGAGACACCCAAATCACGTCCAAGTTGCAGTGCTTTCCGACACGCTTCAACTCTACAAACTCTGAGTTGGAGTCACTTGGGAAGAATTGAGTTGCAGCACTCCAAAAGGCGCCATCATGGTCACGAAAGACCACCCCTCCTCCTCCCACACTTCCATTCTTTAACACCGCTCCATCAGCATTCGCTAAAATCCATCCTTGTTTAGGAGGCACCCATTTCTCCGGTGGAAGACACTCAGTAGCTCTCAATCTTCTAGGTATCACCTCACGCCACTCATCCATTAGCCTTGAAACCAAACATGATATTTCATGTGGGGATTGAATCCTCTTACTATCCCTTGCATTATTTCTCGCTAGCCAAATCCCATAAAATCCGTGCATCATTTCTTTCCGCCTCAGAAATCTAATGGGCCAACCATCTACCCACCTCCACACTTGAATTTAAATCTTTAGGAGGAAAACAAGCAGGAGTTTCTCTTCTTTCCGAAAAATCTTTCCAAAAGCATTGAGAATGCGGACATATCCAGAACCTATGTGCAAGAGACCTCTCCCTTCCGCATGCAACACACCAGACTCCAGGTTTGATTTTTCGTCGATTAAGTTCTGTACCAACGGCCAAACCATTCCGCATAAGATGCCAACTATGCAACTTTACCTTATTAGGCACATGAGCTCCCCAAAGTGCCAGCCAGCTTCGATGTGATTGCACAGTTGAGGAGGGCCCCGACCGTCCGGTTAACGCTCTCCTTTTATTCATCAGCAAATGGTAACCTGACCGAACCGTGAAAACATCATCCTTAGTATAGTTCCAAGCCAAAAAATCATCCACACCTTCACCCCCAACCGGGATTTGCTTGATATCATTTGTATCATCAACAGAAAACATTGCATCAACCTTAGAATGATCCCAAGTATCACCTGTTACAGAAAAAAGATCACTTAACCCGAGCGATACCATGCATAAATTCTCTTGCGAGAAAACAGGAGAGAGAAAAGAAAGGGTACGTGGGCTCCTGCTAAATAGTAAAACCATGTGGACAAGCCCACCAAGCCCAGCGGCGTTGCCTCATCTTCTCGCTTCATTACTTTCTCTTGTTAAAAAAAAACAATTCTCGGTTCATCCCCTTCCGCGGCCGACTGCGACGGCCACGGCGACGCCATGCGTGCCCCCGCATCTCCTTCCGCCTCACCGCCACCTGACCTCTGCCTTCTGCGGAGCCACGCCGTCGACTCCTTCCAGAGGTGCGCCTCGTCGCTGGAAACCTCGTCCCCATACCAGAGGTGAGGCACCAGGACGTGCGCGAGCCCACGGTCCAGATTGATGGACGAGGCAGTGGATGGGTGCTGTGCGCCCAAGCACGCAGCTCGTCGGCCCTGGGAGGAGGTGCGGCTGCCATCTTCCTCCTGCCTCCCTGCTTGCTCCAAGGTACTCTCAGCGGAATCATTTTCTTCAGTTCAATGCCGCGGAAACAAAATACAACAGAAGAATAGCTGAAGAGGATTGATTTGTTGGTTTTCTGTGCGATAGGAACCCTCACGGGGAAGGGGGAAAGGAACAACCAATAAGGGGGAGAAAGGCGGAAATAATCAAGACCATAGACATTTTTGGACGTGGGTTGTCTGTAGTGTCCAAGTCTCAAATCTCAATTGACAGTTTCATTGTGATTTTTTGGAATGTTTTCTATCTAATCAAAGAGACATACTCTGTGTACAGATATTGTTAAGTGGGTTATCCATGAAGCCGCAAAACAGGGATGGCCACATAAATTCAGTTTTGTGGCTGCTGCATAGCACACTTATTTGATATGTTTTGCTCATTTTTTTTTATTTCATATGTGGACAGCTAGTGGCGTCCACTGGCGGTGCCACTTGCATTCTGAATTACGGGTACCACGATGAACTTGGCAAAATGGGATTTGATGAGAGAAATCACCGAGTGGTGCCGCACTTATCTAGCTTCTATATGCTTCAAGAGTTTTTATGTTGCTTCTGCTCTGATGCTCGTCTCCATAGCCATCCTGACACTATTTGGACATGTACTGCAGCTTCACCCGGGATAGCTAGGAGTTCAATGGAAGCAACCTATGGGAATCATGGTTCGTTGCTGGAATGCTATTGCTGGCTTCTGTTCGAGGAATCTTCTTCGCAACCTTCTTGAGGAACATGGAAAGTGAATACTTCTCAAGTCGATGCCCTTGGTGTGGTAGACAGCGTTGGTTTCTTTCGTCAGTTCGGGTCTTCTAAGTCGGGGTGGCTGTGTAACATTTTCAACATTGGTGTTCCATTGTGACACGCAAGTACATACAAAATTAGTCCCATGTATTTCATGCAGCTAGGTTTTATGAAATACTCCCTCCGTCTAACATTTTGGGACGGAGGGAGTACTATGAAAGTATGCCCAGATTCATAATGTGATGCACAACCTCCATGTTTTATGTAATGAAATATCCATGTAGCATGGTAAACTCCCACAGTCCTGCTTCATGGCCAGTTAGCTACCAAAGATCCTGTAAACAGTCAGCATCACCTAGTCGAAAGGCTGGCCCCTCGCCCCATGAGAGGATTAATTCCTGGCCATGTAAAATTGTGGTGCATGCTTCATTCAAGCAAGCAGTATCCTGCACCACAACAATAGAGATAAGGGTTATGGCTATTTATATTTTCTAACAGTCTTTGGTCCTCTATTCCTTTCTCTGCTTGCAGTTTGGACTTGGTCTAAGCATCATGCACATAATCTAGACTTCTAGAGCGGCAAACTGGCGTTCTCTAGGAGGACAGATTGGTGGTGAAAAAAGAGGTGCAGGGAGCTCATTTTTAGTGGTGGAAAAAGAGTTCAGCTATGGTATGTATCTAAAATAATATAAACTTATTCCTCTCTGTTTTGTTTTGTACATATTTCTTGAAAAGGGTAGAAAATGTAAAATTCTAAGATGATGGTACATATTTCTATATAAGGTCTTCGTGTATAGATAGTACCTGTAATAATGATGCCAAATATGAACATTGAGATAAGTTTGTTCTTAGCTCCGGGTTGTCTATAATTGGTTACATCTTACAATTTGAAGGTTAATGATACCTGCATGATGTTGAAGAATGAGGTCCATCTTGATGTAAGAGGAGTGTACCGATATGCAAGAGATTTGTGGGGCTGCCATGTTATCCGCATCGACACACTTGTATTACTCAATGCATTTGCCTACGTATTCCTCGCCACTTTTGGGCCCCAGCGCCGCCGCTCCAAAAACTGGTTCATCCAAAAAGGTACCTTGGTCGCAAACACTCTGTCCTTCTTACTGGGAACATACACCCTTGGTTCAATGCAATCTTCCAAGGTGAAGAGCGGCATGTACCCCGTTTGGGCCGCAACTCTCTTCATCCTTCACGTCTGTACCAACACAGCTTATAGTCTTGATGACAATAAACACGTAACGAGGGTCCTGTACCGGTTGGTGTTCTACAATGTATATGGGGGATTGCTTTTGATGACTGCAATTGGAAATGGAAGTTCTGCCCCCCTTGTTATTATTTTATATGCTGTTGGTCAATATAAATTCAAGTATATACAAGCACCATGTGTGCTGGCAAGCTGTTCATGGAACCTGAATAAAATGGTTGCTGATTACATGTATGACGAGCACACCAAGGGTGAATTTGTTCCAACCACCATGAAAGGTTGCCATTACCTGGTTGACTGGCCCCTCGACAACTCCAAGTTGGGTGCTCCATCGTATGCATCACGATTTACATCGGATGGCAATGAAGTCATTGACATAGAGAAGATATGGCTTTGTGATGACATTTCAGAAGAGAATGAGCTAAAGGATACATGTCTTTCCTTCTCTCTTTTTCTTCTGCTGAGAAGGCGCTACTTTGGGTTTGCCTGTGGCGAATCGAAAGAAAGGGCACATGATTTTGTCTTCAAGGGGCTGCTACGGGAGAATGAGGAAGGTACCACAGACTGCAACCGGGCTTTTAGGCTGATTGAGGTTGAGTTAGCATTTATGTATGATTTCTTTTTCACCACATCTGCCGCCATTTATTATGGATCAAGGGCTGCAACAGTTGCAGCATTGCTTTCAGTTTTCTTCCTCTCTCTTACAATACTTTCGATAGTCAGCTTGCATCCATCACCCATACATGAAGGTGACATGGCGATCAGCTTATTCATACTTGCATCTGCTGCTTTGCTTGAATTGCTTCAACTGCTACTTTACTGGACTAGCATTTGGAGCAGAGTATCCTTTGTCTGTCAGTATCTCAGAGAACAAGCACGATTGAACACAAGGGGAAGCTGCTGCTCCTGCTCCTCCTGGTGCCGCTGCCGCTGCGTGCTGCTAAGATTGAAAGGGCTTCTTGCCAAAATTGGTGTGCATTGGACACCAAACAAACACTATTGGCAGCACAAGCTTGGGCAGTACCCCTTACTTGATTACCGTCCTATGTTATGTGACAAGTTCAAGGATTATTTGGGTAGATTCACAATATCTTCAGATCCCACACATGCATCGCCTATCCTCCATCCAATAGACTATCACACACGGAGGGTTCGTCAAAAACGTGGGAAATCTACAGAGATAACTGCAGAAGTACAGAAGGCACTTATTTACTCCCTCAAACGTTCCAATGGTGAACTAACGAATGGAAAATCATCACTAGTGTCCAATGGAGCAGGACACCTTTTATGGGCTTGTGAACGGGCCGTGCACTCAGAATCAGACACAAGCTGCATTATTCTGACTTGGCACATTGCGACATGGTACTGCGAGAGGGGAACTCTTGGATGCAGCCCTTGCCCAGACGAGGAAACAGAACTCAAGGTCCATCTTGGTGTTGCCACAAAACTGTCGAAATACTGTGCATACCTGCTGGTCTCTGCACCAAAACTTCTTCCAGGGCACGAATATGATACGAGCTGTGTGTTTGACGAAGTTGCAGAGGAAGCTAGGAAATTGCTGTCATATGTGAATGTGAGGGATAAGTATCAAGCACTGAAGAACTACGGACTAGAAGAATCAGAGGCTACCATCTTCCAGAGTGGCGCTAAATTGGGAAAGCAGCTAGAGGAGATAGAAGATGTTACCAGGCGTTGGAAGGTGCTAGCTGATTTCTGGTCTGAGATGCTGCTCTACATCGCGCCATCAGATAATGTCGACGAGCACATCGAGCAGCTCACACGGGGCGGCGAGTTCATCACCCACCTGTGGGCTCTGCTCTCACATGCTGGCATTCTACAGAGGGGTCAACCTAATCTTAGCAATATACGTGCAGAAAATAGTGAGGGTAGTTCTGCGAGACACCAAGAAAGTGAGCAAAATTCAGCAAATCTTGAAGAAAATACTCAGGATAATTCTGCGAGAGCGAGACACCAAGAAGTTGTGCAAGATTCAGTAGATCCTGAAGAAGCTACTCCACTTGCTGATCATCCGGTGCAAATTCACGACAATCTGTTATCGACTCGTCTTACCCTCCAAGTTCATTCACAAGGTGTTGGGGCCAGACCGCTACAAATACCTGAGCAAGATATATCTACAGAAAATGAATGCCATATTGATGTTCCTGAAGCTCCAAGCACCATGCAGCAAGCTCTCCCTGAACAAGTATGAGCTCACCTCACTGCCATGAGCTATAAATCATCAGAACTGAATTTATATGTTTGTGTTTCATAATTGATATTGGTCATGTTTGACGCCGTTAGATGTAAGAGTTGGTTTGATGGGCTACTTTTTCAGTGTTTCATCCTCGAATGATAAGGACTCCTTTTTTGTAATTGCCACATGAGCATGGTGTGTGCTCTGAAACTTCTGAATTCGCTTACAGTGAATGCTCTGATAAGTGATATGGTGACTACTTTAGTGATCTAAAACGTCTTATATGTGATTTGCTGTTACTGCAACTCCTTATATTTTCACCTTGTGCTGGTTTAACTTTGTTCTTACCACCAGGACAGATAACTCGTCAAAGGGCCGTCGGATCAGCTCAGTGAGAAAAGGGCCGGACAGTTACAATTCCAGGCATCTCCTGCAATTCCACGATAAATGTGGAATGTTTAGCAAAGCTGCTTCCTGATCCTGCTGTTTTTTGCAACAACGGGTTTGAAAACGGATTGTGTGCTTTCGTCTAAAACTGAAAATTGCTCATGTGAAGGGTCAGGAAATCAATTCATTGGAGAAAAATGACGTGGAATCCATCCATGTCATCAGGACCTGAAGGTGAGGTGTTTGTCCCCAAAATGGTGTGATGCCGATGGTTATGGTTATGTATGCCTCGTAAAACGTGTGATCCCTAGCTTGTAGCAGGAACTTTGGTCCTTAGATGAGCAAGTGAGATGAGAGCTTGTTAACTTATCTTTTGTTGAACTTGGTCTGGATAACCGTATCTGGCTTCGTTTCAATGAAATGGAACCGCGGTGAGCCCCTGATTAGCGGGGTAAAAAATGACTTGGATCCTGATGTTTAAGACTTGTATATATCTTGATGTCTTGGTTGCATCTGGCCTTTTGTTCTACAGTATGTTTTCCCCTCACTGCTGCCGGCGTCCTCTGCCTCCCGTCCGCGCCAGACCACGGCAGGCACCACCAGCCTCCTGTTCCCACCAGAACTACTTTCTGATGCGGTCCTCTCGACGACGGCGTACGTCGTCACACTGCGCCGAGACGCCGGCAAGGATGCGCGCACGCCGTCACGCCACGAGATCACGACGGGGCGCCAAAAGTCCTCTACGCCGGCCACACCAGAATTGCACCCAGAAGCCGACGACGATGCACGCCGGAAGCCCGGGAACGCAAACGGGCCGGACGCCGAAGTAGCACCAGCTCTGAGCGCCAAGTATGGCCAAGCCGGCCTGAAGCGCGCACGGACGTCACTCAAAAGTGGCACCCCCTGCCCCCGTTCGCGCCACCACGCGGCACCACCAGCCGGAGCGGCCGTCAAGAAATCGTCCGTGCGGCCGGCGGCGCCTTGTTATGGGCCTCGATCTAGGGTTCGTGGGGAGGAGAGGAATTCCAGGGAGAGGGAGAAGGGGATCTGGAAATCGCCGAGAGGAGAAGAACGGCTTCTCTCTTCGGTTCGGTTTACTCGACAGAATATTCGATGCCTTCCAGCTGGGCGTCACCAGCTACTTAACCCTCACGCGACACGCAGGCCTCACCCACACACGCACTCACAGCCTGGCCCACTTGCCAGGCGATCACGCCTCGCTCCCGCATCTTCCTCTTCTTCACCCTGGGACGTGCTGACCGTCTCTCTGTCAGGTGGGGGCACCGTGACATCCTCCCCCCTTGTGTTTCGCCTTGTCCCCAAGGTGACGTAGCCGGAAACTTCTGCTGCAGCTTTACCGGGTCTTCCCAGGTAGCCATGAACCTGGGCATCTTGCTCCATTGAACCAATAGCCATGGTTGGAGCGCACCTCCCACCTGGATCATCTTCAGTTCGAGCACTTTCTTTGGAGTGTGCTCCGCCTGCAATGTAGCATTATCAGGTGGAAGATCAGAGCTCACCTGAACTTGCGCGCCTTCGGCCTTCTTTAACTGCGACACATGCACCACCGGGTGGATTTTGCTGGACGCCGGAAGGTCCAACTTGTACGCCACCGCGCCAATGCGAGCCAAGACGCGGTAAGGCCCGAAGTAGCGAAATGCTAGCTTCTGGTGGGGGCGCTGTGCAACCGAGGACTGGATAAACGGTTGAAGCTTCAACAACACTGCATCTCCGACCTCAAATGCTCTGTCAGTGCGATGCTTGTCGGCCTGTCTTTTCATTCTGTCCTGAGCCAGTTTCAGTTGCTGTTGAAGGAGCTCGAGCATGATTCCTCGCTCGCGCAACCATGCAGCCAAGTCGGGTACTGAGCATTGGTCGACCTGATCCACACCAAACTCGCGTGGCAACTGCCCGTAGATGACTTCAAAAGGCGTTCTCCCCAGAGCTGAGTGAAATGTGGTGTTGTACCAATACTCTGCAAGAGCTAGCCACTTCGACCAATTGCTGGGACACGAGTGCACTGCACATCGGAGGTATCCCTCCAGGCACTGGTTGACTCGCTCTGTCGTCCCGTCAGTCTGCGGGTGATACGCTGAGCTGAGTTTTAGCTCTGTTCGGCATAGCTTGAACAGTTCTTGCCAAACTTTGCTGGTAAAAACTTTGTCTCTGTCGGAGATGATCGCGAGGGGTAGGCCGTGCAGTCAAAAAATCTCCTTCATGAACTTCTGAGAACCTTCAAAGCTGTGAATGGGTGCGTCAGCGGCAAAAAATGGGCATACCTGGAAAATTTGTCGACTACCACCAGGATTGTGTCGTAGCCACCAGAACACGACAATCCTTCGATAAAGTCCATAGAGACTACTGCCCATGGCTTTTTTGGTATAGGCAACGGTTGAAGGAGCCCCGCGGGTGATTTTCTCTCAGTTTTTGCCTGCTGACAGACCATGCAGGTTCTGACAGTCTGTTTGATCTGAGCCTTCATGCCGTTCCACGCAAAGAGTCTCTTGATGCGGTTGTACGTGGCGTGGAACCCTGAGTGTCCACCCACCGCACTTGCGTGCAGAGAGTTGATCAGGTGTTGCTGAACCTCGGTATCGTTGCCAATCCACACACGCCCTTTGTATCTTAAGATTCCTTCCTGCATTGTGTACTGTGGTTCACTGTTGGGGTCGAGAGCCAGTTTCTCCATTCTCGCTATCACTCCGGCATCGTTCAGGTAACTGTTCTTGACAGCTTCCAACCAAGTTGGCTTGCACACGGACAGCGCTGCCATTTCTGTGTCTTCCTCATGCCCATGATGAGATAATGCATCGGTTGCTCTGTTCGTGAGCCCGGCCTTGTATTGGATGGCGAATTGCAACCCAACCAACTTGGTAAATGCTTGTTGCTGAATAGGGGTATTGAGCCTCTGATCTGTCAGGTGCAGCAGACTCTTCTGGTCAGTGCGTACAATGAACTCCGAGTGCTGAAGGTACGGCCGCCAGTGATCAATGGCGAGCAAGAGCGCCAAGCACTCTTTCTCATACGCAGACAGTCCCATGTTTTTGGGAGCTAGCGCTTTGGTCAGGTACGCCACGGGGTGGTTTGCCTGCATCAAAACTGCACCAATCCCAGTTGCACTCGCGTCCGTCTCGACTACGAACTGTTTTTGGAAGTCTGGAAGAGCGAGAACAGGAGCTGCTGTAAGGGCTTGCTTGAGAGCATGGAATGTCGCCTCAGCCATTGGTGTCCATGCAAAGATGGTGTTCTTTTTGAGGAGTTCCGTCAGTGGCTTGCTGATGACCCCGAAGAATCGCACAAACTTGCGATAGTATCCTACGAGCCCCAGAAACCCACGCAGCTCTTTGGTGTTCTGCGGCACTGGCCATTGTTGAACTGCATGAACTTTAGTGTTGTCAGTAGAGACCCCTTTTTCGCTGATGACATGTCCTAGATAACTGATACTGCGCTGAGCAAAACTGCACTTGGAGAGCTTCGCCTTCAGCCCGTGTTTGTGCAGTAATTGCAGAACTTGTGTCAGGAGGGGACCGTGCTCTTCCAAGGTACGAGTGTGAACAAGGATGTCATCCATGAACGCCAAAACTCCTTTCGAAGCACTGGAGAGAGCACCACATGCATGCCTCCCTGGAATGTTGCTGGTGCATAAGCTAGGCCATATGGCATCACCTTAAACTCGAAGTGGCCCAAGTGAGTGGTGAATGCCGTCTTGTGCTCGTCCTCTGGCAGTAGTCGTATCTGATGGTATCCAGCCCTCAGGTCCAACTTGGAGAACCATGACGATCCAGCGATCTCATCCAGTAGTTCGTCGATAATGGGCATCGGGTAGACTTTCTTAATAGTGATAGCATTCAAATGCCTGAAATCCACACAAAATCTCCATGCTTGGTCCTTCTTTTTGACTAGCAGCACTGGGGATGAGAAAGGACTGGTGCTGGGAGTTATGAGCCCCGCATGAAGCATCTCTCGAACCTGTGTCTCGATCTCATTTTTCTGCTCTGGGTGTATCGGTATGGCCTGATGTTCACTGGATTGGCCCTGCTACCAGGGGAATGGCATGGTCCCATTCGCGATGCTCTGATAGCCCTGTAGGTTCTTCAAACACAACTTGAAAGCTGTCCAGAATGTGCTGGATAACTGCTGGAACTGGTTCATCCTCACTTTGCTTGTCCGTGATGCAGATGGCCACCACATGCGCAATCGAATTGGATTGTTCCATGAACAACATCTCCTCCATGGTGGCTGGTTCAACTTGCTGAGGTTTTGCTTGTAAGCCTTGCAGAATCACTGTTTGGCCCTCTTTCTAAAACTGGAGTTGCTTGGCTGTCCAGTCCACTAACATAGGTCCGCACTGCTCGAGCCAATCCATCCCAACCACCATATCATAACAGCCCAATGACAGGACACGCACATCAGTGGAGAATGTGTGCCCCTGTGTGTCCCAACGACAAGCTGGAATGATCCCAGAACAGCTGAGCACTCCCCCATTTGCTATTTTCACTGAAACCGGCCGCATTGGCTGCACTTTATCTTGCATCGCTATCGCCACAGCCTTGCTGATGAAGCTATGCGAGCTACCGGAGTCCACCAGGATCAACACATCGCGCCCGCCAATGTCTCCCAATAGCCTGACTGTGCGGGGGGGTCGTTTCCCCCGTTGTCGCCATCTTCGAAATCGACATGAGCTGCTCATCGTCAGATTCAGCGTCTTGCTCTTGCCGATCTTGCACCTCTGCTTGAAGTAATTCCAGCAGCTCTTCCACCACATGGAGTTGGACTGTAGCCGCACATTGGTGGCCTTGGCCCCAGCGCTCTCCGCATTTAAAGAAGAGCCCTCGCGCGCGTCGATAGTTGTGGAGTGTTGCGACATGGTCATCTCCGTGCGCTGGCTCCTGGCGCCGATCGCCTGCGCGCGCCGCCTCGATCGCCCGCCGGTCCTCCGCAGCTACGGGTACAGCCGGCTGCACTGGCCTAGGTGGTGGTGCTCCAATGGCCACTATTGGGCGATGCG